TGTAACACACCATACATGATGGAGATACATGTAAGAGGGGACCCAGTGGGCGGCTGGGGGCTGGTTTTCACTTAAGCACGCCCAGGTACCCGGGCAGGATGCGACACACTCGCAGCAGAGCCCCGGTGCATCCCAGTCTCTGCGCTGTGGAGGAACGTTTAAAACTCCTTTCAAACACAGACCCAGCACTGCTCAGGCTGCGTTTCAGGCTCGTGGCCCCGCTGTCCCCAGGCCCCTGCCAGGAAGGGACACTGGCCCTGTGGCCCCCCCACCTCCCTGGCCCCACAGCTCCTTGCTCTGCAGCGCAGGGACTCACAGGGCGATAGTGGTTTGAATCAACTGCTTGGTGGGTGATGTCACCGGAATCGCAGAGGGGAAGAGGCCAAATAAGGCAGCAATTTGGTGAAAATATGTCCTAAAATGGGAGCTTGACTGGTGATTAGCAAGCGCAAAACACAGATACGATATTACCATGTTGAGAGCTCGAGAGCCCCACGCAGCCTCAGACACTGGAGATAAACCCACCAGGACCTGGAAAGATGAGAAGAAAAAGCAGCCTGATTCAGAGCAGTTTTGTCCACAAAAGCAGGCTGTGTCAGGAGGTCAGTATGTGAAGAATCTCTGTGCTAAGATGGATAAACAGATCAATGCTGTGAGAATTTCATTTTTCTCTGTGAAGATACTCTTTTTTGAAGAGTTTTTTCAGTATGCTTTTGGCTTTTCAATGTAAAGAGATAAACCTGGTCTAGCAGATAGAGGAAATGTTATTTTATAGGTGCCAGAAGCAAAAACATGGTGGAGGCTAAATTGAGCTGAAGAAGAGGAGAAGCTCCTTCTCCCCTGGTCCCAAACTGCTGCCTGCAGCTCCCATGACTGGAGCAGGTACTGGTGACCTCTGAGTGGCTTCAGTGTACCCCTCCAGGGCTGGAGGAGGTGTTTGGGTTATCCCAGTATGCTCAGGACCCTGCAGGAGGACAGAGCTCTGGAAGGCAGCTGCAGGGACTGGGACAGCCCAACCAAACCCACTGGGAATCCATCCACCTCCTGTCTTTGGTGGTGTTGCACTTCCCTGACACCAAGAACAGGAGAGCACAAACTGGAAGCACAATCACTGTGACCAATTTATTATAATTATTGGATGAAATTGCACTTGGGGGGCTGTTGTGTCAAAGGATTGAACTTGTCTTATAAACCCTCAAAGACTCATGGGCTACAGAGGGGGGTGGCAGGAAACTTTGGACTAATTGTGCTCAAGCTGCAGCCTGCCTTCATGGCATCTGTAACCCCAGGCAGCTGCACAGGCACACAGAGTGGGTGTGCTCAGGAGAGTGCTGGATAAACCCCTGGGCAGCAAGTCCATAAAGAGAAATGAAGGAGCTAGCCAAGGCCCCCTGGGCATCCCTAGTTATGATGCTGGGGAACATGAGAGGAGGAGATGACAGAAAACTTCCCTTACAACCCAATCCATTCTATGATTCTATGAAAACGGCCATGCTCAGGTGCTGTCCCCAAATAGCGTCTCTGACAATCCAGCCAGGCAGGGCCTTCCAAAGCTTTGCTTTCTTTAACACACAGGATAAGGATTTCAACATCATCAAGTTTCTTTCCTTGTTCCCATGCAGCATTAATAATAAACTTAGTAGTGCAGTTATTAATAACAGCAATGACCAGGGCGCTCTGCTAGTGCAGACGATGGAGCGCAGGCTGGCAGGCAGAGCAGGAGTGCAGAGCTCTGCTTCCTTTTGCCCTGGCAGAGGCTAGCCATCACCCCAGGAATTTTATAGTTTCCTGTGGAAGAGGTCCTGCTCATTCATCAGGCCTTGAAAAGTGTGTTCAGGCCAAGAATGTATTTATTTTTGACCTAAATATAGTTGAAGTTCTATTAAAAACACGCCAGGAATGGCAGGACTCCCACCCCAAAGCCGTCACAGAGGGAGGTGGCCCTGGCTTCTGGTGTCAGTCCCTCGTTCCCACGTGTGCCTTCATCCAGGGATGCTCATCCTGCTTTGTCTGGGTAACAGTTTAGCACAGGGGAGGCAGCCCAGCAAGTGGGTGCAGGAAGGGCTGATGGACCCCTTCTGGCTGCTCCCACTATCCCTCCCGCCCAGGTAAGATATGGGTGGCCACAGCATTTCCAACCATAGCAACACAGGCAGGTTTGAGGATTTAGCAGGATCCAGAGCACTCAGGCACTCCTTTGGTGAATGCCTCTTGCTTTTGCCCTGGCAGCAGCAGCAGAGAGGATAAACTTTATCTCGTGCTTCAAGAATGACTCGATGAGAGTGAAGTGGGGTTTGTATTTGTTTCTGAACAACCACTAGCAACTGCTCAGTCCAAAAGGAATCCAGCTTGATGATTATTTAGGCTATTTGGATTGCTTGTAAAGCTTATGCAAACTGTCTGGAGGGGCAAACTGTCTGGTCCCTCCCTGTTGGTGGCTCAGAAGAAGAACACCCTCCTTTCTTCCCTCTTTGCCCCGATAGTGTTGTGTGTGGTCTTCTCAAACAGCAAGGTACCTTGCAACAGCTTCAGGTCCAGTCCTCCACAGCGGACAAGACTCCAGTTGCATTTTGATGCTCCCACAGCCTAGCTGCTGCCCATCCTGCCTCTGTGCCTGCAGCATCCCTGCACCTCCCTCCACACCAGCCAGCCCAAATTGCCTGCCTTATAGAAGTCACTTCCAGCTCTTTATGTGCTCTCTCTTGTTATTCTTCTCAACAATTTACCTTCTGTGTGTGCACCAAATCATACCCATTTCTATGCTGATGTGCAGCAGTTCAGGTGTCCCTGCTGGTTTGTTGCCCGGCTTCAAGCTGAATGGGCTCATCTCTCACCCAGGCTTAGTCCTCCATACAAGACAACACCAAGACTGCAGAGACTACAGTAAGGCTCCTGCATGTGAACAGTGTGAGCTCTGCATGGCTGCATGACCACAGCAATGGTTCCTCAGGTCCTGCAGCTATTTCCAGTGGACCCCAGCACTGGAGCTTGTTGCCCAGTGCTGCACGGGCCACCCAGTATGATGGACTGCATGATCAGCTCATCCGGTCATTTGTCAGCCGTACACAGGTCAGGGACTTGTTTAACCCAAGTTAAGCCAGACTAAAACTGCATTAGATGCATCTGCTGAAGGCAATCTGTCACTGTCAGGCAGGCGAGCTGCTTGATTAATGTGCCCCACTGGCCTGCTCCACTAAGCCTGGCTATAGAAAATGCATTTATCTATATATAAGTACACAGTACGACTTTACACGTGCATCCTGCAGTGCGCTGTCTAGGGAAACCTGCTTTTACCTCCTTTTCACTCTCAAAGCTCTGAAGTGAAGGTTTGGCAAAAAAGAAGTGACATCCTTGTAGAGTTTTACAAATAGAACAGGTTTTTGTTAGGAACAATTTGGGTGGTGGTGTTCCTCTTCTGGGGCATGCTTGCATGGGCATGCATAGGGTAAAGAGCCAGTCCAGAATTAGCCATTAAAAAACCCAACTGTTTAAATACGTTCTAGTAAGAAGGCTGTTAGTGCCTGCTCTTCCTTTGCTGCAGAGCAGTGCTGGGGGACCATCACTCTGTGCCAGGACAGCAGCTGCAGACTGTGTCTCTCCCCCCCCAGCAAAACCAGGAAAGCTTCTCTCTCCCTCTCAGCTGAGCGGGAACAGCATGGATTTGTTCACTTTAGAAATAGCATTAGAAAACTCTTCCTTTACAAATTAATTTTCAACTCCCTTGATTAAAACTTGTCAGCCGCTAAATGTCTTTTCCCAGTTGGTTTTTCTTTCCTCTCGCCCCTCACCATCCCCATTCAAGCTGATGTATGGTGCTCTGTCTCTTAAAAAATTTCCTAGCCCCTCAAGCCATTTCTCCCATTTGGATTTTGCTGTGATAACCTACAAACCCAACTGGCACTCCAACACCAGAGAGTACCAGTCTGCAGCCAGCACATCCCTATTGGAAGTGTTAGGGCCTGCCCATACCACCCATGCAAAACCCCTCTATAAGGCCCCAAACATCACAAGAACTATGTAAAAAAAATCACAGGGGAGGGTTGTTTGATTTGTGTTTAAATATGAATGTTGGTGTCTTTCTGTTTGCTTGCACATTTCCGAACTTTCTATAGTCTGTTTGCTTCCTGGCCTCAAGCTCTACACTGCAAACACAAGTGTTTGCACTTAAATTCAATTAGCCTTAAACCCAAAGACCCAAAACAAGCGAAAGTTCTCCTGCAAGCTTTCCTGAGATAAACATTGCAAGATCGGTGATAGAAAGAGAAAACAAGGAGGACAATGCAGAGCCACCTCCTGCAGGCTCTTGAAACAATGCCCCTTGTCTGGATGAGGCCCAGGAGTTGTCCCCTAGAGCAGAGCTTGTGCCCCCAACCCATGGGCACAGGGTTAACCCTACATCCTCGCCCCCCAGCAACCTCCTGCTTCCCCCCATCCCTGCAGCCACCAAGGGCATCACAGACAGCACATACAGTAGGAGCCTGTTATTAGACAATGATTTTCATATTGTTATAACACCCCCCCGGGGGTGTTACTGGGTATTTAAAAATGGAATCCTTTAAAGTTTGATTTGCTAATTGGATAGATTTTTTAAATACATCATTATAGATTATGTAGTAACTCAGGAAAATGGACAAATAAAATGGGGAAAGAAAGGCACCAGTCATAAACTGCATAGCTGGACTGAAAATGTCTCTGTCAATACCCATTCAGCTCCATGATACAGCATTGCAACAAGAAACGAAAACACCCACAGGGAGAAATCTTTACCCAAAGGCCTGATACGCACCCAGCAGGAGGCCTGGAGCTGGCCCTGGCTCCAAGATACAAGGGGTTTGAAGTGAGAGGCGTCATGGTTTTCTTCCCTTGCTCTGTTGTGTTGGCAGTCCTCTGCTGCAGACACAAGCATGCCTGGGAGCAAGGTCCTGGAGCATCCTTGCTCCCTGCAGGGGTTTCATGGGGTAACTGCTGCCAGAATCATGCTTTTCTCCCTGCACCAACTCTCAGATGACAGTGCAGCTGCAGCAGCACCTCTCAGGATAGTCCAGTGCATATACCTTGTTCTCAAGCCCATAGATGTAGTAGAGGTAAGGCTTCCCTGAATACTGGTAGTGTACTTCTGTGATGAGGATTAGCTCGATTGTTTGCCTCTGGGAAAGGAAAAGTTCAAATTAAGTAGGCAGTTTGGAGCAGAGGCTATATCTTGCTTTAGACCAACACATGTAGACAGGTAGAAAGCCCCAACTTTTAGCCAGAGGCCTCGCAGCTCCAAGAGAGCTGCTGCTTTGTGAAGGGGAAAAGAAAAAACATTGGAGAACAGTCAGCCCATCACTACAGCCATCAAAAATTCCCTTGGTGCAGCTAGCATGTTCTGACCCTTGAATACTAGGCCATTTTTACTGCATTTATAGCTATTTAAGCTATTTCCTTAAATCCTTTAAGCCCTTATTTCCAGTCCTTGGTGTGTTAGCATATGCCCCATCTCACGCGTGGTTGAGGTCTGTGTGCGAACACAGTTCCCTGTCCTTGCCCTTGGAAGATGGGAAAGCCACAGGAATCTGGATGTGCAAGCAGAGGCACTGGTGGTGAGCTGTGGACATGTCACCTCCACCAGTGATGGCTGCACCGTGTTGTGTTACTGCAGCAGAAATTGCTGTAGATTTAACCCCTGCTGCTCTGCTCTCTTCCTGTCTGAGGGGGAAGGAAGCTGCTTTCATCTCCATCTTGCTGGTAATTATTATTCTTGGCTGAATCACAGGGGGCAGTGCTGTGGAGGCACCTTGTTTCCTCATGGAGGGGCCCTGCTTTGCTCCTTCCTCGTGGTGCCCAGCAGCCCATCGGGTGTCCTGACCCACCCTGGCTCTCACCTCCTGCTGCAATTACAATTGCAAAGTCTCAGTTTTAAATAAAGCTCAATGTCTGCTGCGCTCCAGCCCCTCTAACCCCAGAGGGTATCTATGATCCTGATACTTACCTACAACGCACAGCCATAAGAAGGCACAATAGCATCAACCAAGCAAAGAAGAAGAGATTTCAAACCCACACCCCATCCCCACCCCCCAGCTTGCTCCAAAAGTTGCTGGTTATTAAGCAGAGCGACATCAGCCAACAACAAGCAGAGGGGTGAAAAATTCCATGGGGAAAGCACCAGGAGAAGGCAGCCCAGATCCGCAGAGGTACTATGTGGTGCCTGGATTTGCCAGGGCAGGTTTTCAGTACCTGCTTTCCTATACAGCTAGAGGATCCTTTGGCTGGGGTGCAGCAGCCACCTACAACACACAGCCATAAGAAGGCACAATAGCATCAGCCAAGCAAAGAAGAGATTTCAAACCCATACCCCCTCCCCATCCCCCCAGCTTGCTCCAAAAGTTGCTGGTTATTAAGCAGAGCGACGTCAGCCAACAACAAGCAGAGGGGTGAAAAATTCCATGGGGAAAGCACCAGGAGAAGGCAGCCCAGATCCGCAGAGGTACTATGTGGTGCCTGGATTTGCCAGGGCAGGTTTTCAGTACCTGCTTTCCTATACAGCTAGAGGATCCTTTGGCTGGGGTGCAGCAGCCTACTGAGCAAACTGCCTTTGATGCTGAGAAGTGGAAATTATAGGCTGGAGCTAAGTTGGAAGTCAGAAATTTGCCAAAGAGCTGGTTTTGACAGACCACATGGAAAATCAAATCATCTCCCTTTAAGTTTATTTTGGTCTTTCAGTTTACTTGCATTTTTAATGTGGATCCTTCTCTTTCCTGTGGGTGAAAAGACAGTATGTTCTAGCTAAACTTTCGCGTTTGCAATCACATTTATAATAGCAGCAGCAGACATTACGACACTCTAGCGAGAATCAGAGTGCAATCCTAATGTTTGTTCTAAAGTAGCTTCTAAGATAAAAATAGCGGTAATAAATAATGTGTGCCAGGGCTTTGAAAAGGTAAAAGGAACAGGAATAACAACAGTCACCTACATCTTCCAATTCCTAGACATTTCAAAAAATTATTTCCCTGCTATTTCACTCGATAATGAAGATTTCTTTGATAATTAGGATTTTTTTCATTTGCTAAAGATCACCTCTGAATGAAACAAAATAAGTGACTATTCTCAACATCTTATTGTGTCTAACCAGGCTCTAATACATGACCATTAGCAGAGCGTGCAGCAGGCTGGGGGGGGACATGCTAGCGGCTCCCCCTTACCTGCTGGAGGATGCGGGATGATGCGCCAAACGTCACACTGTGCTCAGCAATGGCTCCCTGCGAGGCCAGGGAGATCTCAGGTTCAGGGAAGCCAATGATGGGGTACACCTGCAAGAAATAAACCCAACCAGGCAGCAGAGAGAGACCCTATTTGTCAGAGAAATACATTCATTCCACCTGTTACAATGGAAGATCTGAGCTAATAACAGCAATACACAGAAGAAACGCTAATGTCGGAGAGTCCCAAAGGCATGTCCATCCCACCCCAGCAAAGTGTAGAAGTGTCTAAAACAGCAACGGTGCCTCTCCAGATAGAGGTTTATGCTGCTCATGGAGCAGTGAAGAGGCTGCTGTTCCCAAGCTGGCAGGTTTGGTTAAAAACTGGCACTGAGTGACTCTGTGCCCCATCAGGATTCACTGTCACCTTCTTCCAGCAGCACAGCACTGTTAAACCTGAAAGGTTATTTAAAGCCTCTGTTTTCCCCCAGAATGTGGACAATTTACAGAAGAAATACTGGGCTTGTGGGCAAAGCAGAGCTAGTTGTGAATGCAGCTACTTCTTGCGTAGCCAGGAGTGATGGCTGTTTATGCGAGAGCCCCACTGATTTTAATGCTCATAGGACTTCAGATCTAAAGCATTCGTTGGAGAGCGACTCAGATGCTAAAGCATCATTCAAATCCCAAAGGGATTCTGCAACACCAGATGCAAAGTCTTCACTACAGACGCATGATATTGAGTAATAGCTCTCTGAGGGAGAGCTGGTCTGTGCTTGGATGGTGCCTGTCTCCCAGTCCTGGTGCGTGACTGAAGTTTCTACAGGTTACTGAAAAACAGCTAATAAATAATAAAAAGGCACAGTTAAGCCCTTACTCACTTGCATTGCATTAAAAAGAAACTCAAGCTGAGGACTGAGCGGTACAGAAATGACGTTGGCTGCGAGAGAGCACTGTGCTTCAGCCAGTTTTGGACTGGTTTGCCCCAGAATTTTGCGGTTTGCAGAGGCAGATTCCCTCCAGGAGCCCTGTGTCACAGGAGCTGGAGGAGATGTCCAGCACTGATGATCTTAAGGGCCCTGCACCACAGGTCTCCACAGCAGCCCAGCAAGCAGCCCTGGCCAGAGCAGCACCTCTGTCCTGGATCCCAGCTCCCAAGCTGGTGGGATCAGTTCCCACCATGGGGATGAGCTGCTGGCATCTCTGCAGGCAGGTGGGTTTGGTGGTTGATGGCAATGCCATGCAGGCACTCCAGCAAGAGCCACCATCCCACACTCTCTCCCTACAAAGCCTGCAGCCAATAGCACTGGCACTATTGTGCAGGCGGTGGGAAATGTGCAAGGGACAATATAAAAAGCCTGAGGGATGGATGTGCTGCTGGATGTCTCCTGCTATTGCTGGAGAGCTGCAGATGACTCTAGGGTTGGAGTTCTGTTAGTCTGGCCACCAAAAGCAACCTGGGATGGCTGAGCACTGACTGCTGCAGCACGGGTTGGTCACACTTTGTTAGGCAGAAAACCCAACAACTCTCAGTTCCTCAGTGGAAGCTAAGGATGCTCTGCGCTACCAAGGGGCAATGGCCTGAAGCCACCTCATTGCTGTGGTCCTGGTGCCACACCGTCAGGCCACAAAGGTGACTTGTGTGTACCTCTGCTTCTGCCAGAGCATTTCTGTCCATCCTGAGAGGTCCCTGGCCCCAGTGCCCTGCAGGGATGAGCAAAGTTGCAATCTCCCAGTGGCTGCTGATGGAAAAGGACCCACTTCTGCTGGATTTAACAATTTCATTGACACCTAAGTTTCTAAGACTGTAGAAGTGCGAAAAGCTGCATCCCATGAATGGGAACCCAACAGCTCTGCTGCAAGAGAGGACAGTGGTTATTGCAGTGCTGCTGGTTACCACAGCAGAGAAGCCATTTCACATTCCCCCTCTTTCACAGCAGCTCAGGAGGGATCCCCTCTGGCCTGGGAGTTGCACTCACCATCACATTTTCATCTTTAAATACACTCTCTCCACTGACTTTGCTGAGCAGCTCTCCTGGGAAGTTCAGATGATGCTCAGAAACAAATTCTAAGACATTGTTCTTCCTGCAAGAGAGAAAGAAAATATCCGAGCAATCCAAGCTATCTCCAGGCTCTTTCTGAATGCCCAAGTAATGCTTGAATGCTCCCTGATTTCCGAGGACAATAATCATGCCTGCCTAACCTTTGTGCACTCCCTCATTAGTTTCTTAATCACCGTGTGTATGCAACAACCATGGATGACTATTGCATAAATAATCCTGAAATCAGACCTTCATGGTGATCACCTTCCCCAACAGCTTTTAGGGCCTCCTACACCCATTAACTCCTTGTGGCAGAGAAGGTCTTATCTTCCCATTCCAAAGCCCCAGCTCCTATTGCAGTGAACCATCTTGGTCTATTACCCATAGGACACTGGCATGGCTAGTGGCTGGTGGTGACCTCCAAAGGAGCTGGAGGTCTCATTTGCCAGAGCTGTGCTTGTCTGGGGTCAGGCAGCCCCAGGGCCCTGCACCCCCAGGAGTCCCACCAGAGGGATGGGTATGGCCAGGACAATTTCCAATCTCCCAGGATGGACAGAGATGGTGTTTTGAAAAACGAAAGTGTTCACACAGGGAAATTGAAGGTATTTTGTACAAAATGGGAAGGTACTCAGGAAGCACTCAGCAGGGCAGGCAATGGCCTTTTTGCTAAACCTCACAAGCTAAGACCTTTTTCAGCCCCATCTGTTATCTCTGGCACTAGAGCTCCTAAATGGGAAATGTCAGAGTAACACCTCGGCCAGCAGCCTTGGGTCACTAATGCCTTAGGAGAAAGGAGCTCAGCCACTGATTCACATTGCCCCAGCTTCAGGTCTGGGCTGCACCAGCTTGTACCAGGCTCAGCTATGCCATCTCCATTTCTGAGTTCTTGTGTGCCCTTGGACCACTCTTTACTTCTGTGAAGCCCCTTCAGCCTCCACCAAACCCCATGGACAAGGTTGCCATCATTAAGGACTAAAGCTGCCTCTCTAAGCCCCTGTTTCTGCCTGACCAAAGGCAGTACTCTCCCAGCTGAGCTCCTAAGCCTTGCAGTAGAATAAGGAATAGAAGTAACAGCTCTGAACCCATGCTGCTCACCAGGTTATCACCAGCTGCTTGAAATGCTGGAGCTTTTTCTCTCCCTGACAGGTCGCACAGGTCTTGCTGCCCTGGCCAGAACAGGTATTGAACCTTTGAATGCAGCAAAATGGGTTTTAAATGGGATTTAAACACTGCCCACTTTGAGTCCTGTGGACCCAGGAGTGATTTATTTCAGAGTGTTTGTATAGCTCAGCAGCTATGGAAGTCAATGATAGCACATGCACCACACATACATCCCTCCCTGGTCTGTGACTCATGGGATGTAACATATTTGCTGGAAAAAAGAAATGACTAATTCCAACCTCAAATCTATTTGTAAATGTGGAATTAGTCAAAGAATGTATTTGTACATCTAATTAGGGATAATCACAATTTCCCCCCACAACGGTAGGAAGGCGAGCGTCACTTTGAAGACGCCACTGCATGTGCTTCTGACAGATGCAGGAGGCATATGCTTATGCATGGAGCATTTTGATTGCATCAGTGCAGCACAGATTAGCAGCAGTTAACAACTGATTCATTAAGGCTCTTCAAGCCATCATTAGCCCCAGTGGATTCATGCTTTAAAATGACTGCCATGATTATGCACCATACCATCTCTGTTATTTTAAACTTAATGGAGCCCTATAAACAAAACAGCTTTAGAACAGTGCCTTCTTTTTTTGTCACTTAGAGATCATTCTGAAGCCTGTTTCATGTTTGGTAAAAACAGAGGGAGGTAATAATTCTCCAGGCTGCACAGGCCATGAAACCTGCCAAATCCCCTGCACTGCAGGAACCAGACCTAAGAGCAGCTCTGGAGTTTGCAGCTCCTTCCAGGCCCATCCCATGCTTTCACTGGAAAATTGAAGGCTTCCTTCAGTTTCCCAGAGAAGCTGGGAAAAGTGACAGTCTTGTAACAGAAAGGTCAAAAAAGATGGAAGAAAGGCAAGCGAAAATATTAGTATTTTCCAAAGGCTCTCACAAGTTTGGGATGCCAGCCTGGTTCCTGAATGCTGAGGGTAGGCTACACAGAATCATACAATAGAATAATAGATGTTAAAATCAAAGTTCTTTTAAAATGAGAGCAGGGAAAGTCCATTTCTAACCATTTCTAACCATTTTTCATGGAGAATAAAGCTACTGCTGTACTGCTTTATCTGATAGGTGATCTTCATAGTAGAAAATAGAAAAAGCACACAGGCATGTAGAGCATGTCCCAGCTCTGCACTGTAATCTCTGCCAGCAGTACACATGTGGAGTCATCTTGGCTCAAATGTACTGGATTAAGTATGTTCCCCTACTTCCCCAACTTTCCAGTAGTTTCCTCCTACCAGGAGACCCTCAGTTATTAACTCCCACCAGGCCAGTGGGAGTGGGATGACTGACTTCTACTACCCATGCCTCTGCCTGAGCAAACATGGACTAAGGGAAGCAGCATAGCCCAGGCAGGGCCACACTAATTGACATGGAGCCCATCGTACCTTTTGCGACCTGTACCTGAACAAAGCTGGCATCTCTTCTGCTGCTTTAGCCTGCTTTGGGATCCCTTGCATGTTACACACTTTGTCTACAAACACACCAAAGAATTAAAGCAGACAGTAACTGCTAGAATAAAAATGTCAGGTTTATAAATCAAAAGTTTTTATGCACGTTAGCAAAATAATCACTAAATCAGGCTTGCAGAAGAAGGCATTTACCAAGTATAGGTGCAAAGGAAGAGTGTACAAAATAGCTCATAAACTGTGACCCTGGATTAATCAGGTGCTCCAGTCAAACTCACTAGTGATGCAAATTAGACACAGTTTGGTTGAAATGCCTTTTTTCTTATGCATGTGGGGTTTTATACATGTTATTTATTCTTGTAGCTAGCAGTATACTTTTAAGTATTTGTATTTAATCAGATGAACTTTAAGTGGCAAATATGTGCAATAACAATACATCTTTTGGCTGTCTGGGAATATCTGTGCAGAAGGAGAAATAAAGACAGGAGGCCAGACTTATGGCTGCACTCACATCCCTGGGTTAAGCCTTCTCTCTCATTAAGAAATCCCAAATACAGAACTGAGCACATCTGAAAGACAGAAAACCATTTGCTGTATCTCATGCCTAAGATCTAAGCTAATTTCGACACTGCAGAAGCAAGTTCTCCTTCTCACCATCATAACACATAGGCTATTGATTGAGGACAGGGCAAGACATCTTTTCTACCTGGGCAGGATTTTGACAACCCCATTCAGCATCACTACAGGACATGGGAACCTCAGCCCTAAACTGGATTGAACACCAGTGGCTTTGGGATACAGGGTGACAAAGGGGGAATACAACATAACTTGCCCCATGTTTCCAGCCCTCATAACAAGCACAGTAACAAGACAGTGCATGTTGTGATTTTGCAAATGAACCCTGTGCTTAGAGGAATGGGAAATGCAGCCTGACAGAACATTTCCCAGCTCCTTACCCGACCTGCCCCAATGGCACACCCTGCACTTGGACCGGCCGTGACCATAGCATCTGTGACAGTCCTGAAATCAGAAGATTATTCATGCACAAAGCTTCCCAGGGATTTTGGATATCTCATATTATGCACAGGCACCCTTCCTGCATCTATATTCAGTGACAAAATTCTGGTCCGAATGGGAAAGAATCCAACACCATAAAATTGTGCTGTGTGACCATTAAAGGAGTCATAAATAATAACTATTTAACAAAGGCAAATGTCTATGTACTGCTGGCAAAAGAAAGTACTTATTTTTCTTTATTCATCATTTTACGTTAAAATAAATTGTCCAGCTATAGAGCTTGTAGAAAGCTAAATGGGAACTGTCATGCAAACTAATGTTTTCCTAATGGTGGAAAAAAATTCAACAAAAGAGAAAAGATCATCCAGTGCTGTTTCTTGAACAGGCTGCAGCAAGATTTGTCCTCAAAGCTTTAAAGGAAGAAAACACCAGGAAGAAGGGATCTCTGACTTTTTTCACTGGTGTTTAATGAAGAAAAACACAAGAAAATGAGAACTGAAGTGAGGTGCCCGAGGAGCTGAGAGTCCCCAAGGAAGGTCCCCCAGCTCCACAAGCCCATCAGCTGGGAAAGGGCTTCTGCAGGCAGCCATCAGCAAGAGGGGACTCACCCTGACCAGTGCTGAGTGAGTCACCCAGCACCACTGTGTCTGGCCCTGGAAGAGTGGAGGGGGCTCATCCTCCACATCCCAGAGGTCTAGGGGGGCATCCGCAGGGGGTCCAGCTGCTCTGGGCTCTGCAGGAGAGGGTGGCATCTTACCCGCCTTGCTGGACGTGGTGCACGGATGCTGGCCAGCTCCTGGTGCTGCTGAGGACCCACAGACCGCTCCCCATCCCCAGGTGGGCATCACACCAGGGACTGACCCAACATAGTCCGTGGCACCCTGGGGTGCTGAGCACCCTCCTGCCATCATGACACAGTCCCCATCATCCCCAGTCCTCCCAGCACACCCCCAAGGCAGTGCAGGCACCCAGGATCAGCTGTCACCCAAACACCATGGGTGAGGGTGCCCTGCACTCCTTGGCAGGTCCATAAAGAGCTCCACTGCACACAGGTGCCCAACCTCAGATCTTGACAAGCTTTGACTATATGTGGCACTTGGTAGGAAATTACTGGGAACTAAGGGCTTCTGCTCCCAGGGCATGCCATGAACCTGCCCTAGCATGAGGGAAGCAAACTGGGCTTGTAAAGAAAAGCATTTTGCCCCAGCTTCACAAGCCCTGCAGAGTCCAAATGGCCACAAGGGAGCAGATCAACCTGGTGCATATTAAACCAGGATCAAGTCACCTCCAGGTGCTACGTGAGCCCTGGACAATGAGCACTGCCACAAACCCCAGCTCCAACATGTAGGTCACATCTCACAAGAGCTACTCCAGTGGGATTTGGGGCAATCACTTACCGGTGAAGGGCTCAAACACCCATTCGCTTAACCTCGACTCACTGAACGTCTCCAGTCGATACTAGAAGAGAAAAATCACACACTGAAAACAAAAACAACTTGCACCAAGTGGGCATTTAAATTTGAACAGTGACTTGCTAATACTGGGTCTCGGGAGGATTCCTGGACTTTTCTGTCTCTAAGTACAACTTGTGCAAGAAAAACTGGCCGGCACTTTCACAGCAAAAAATGCATTTTGCCACTTTTTGGAGAATCGTGTCAGTTATTGTTTAGGGAAGGCCCAGATGATGTTTGAGAGTAATCTGACTAATCTCACAAGTGGAACAAACACTAGCATAAAAGAATATCTGCCCCACAGTGCCTGTTAAAGGGCACTCCCATTACCCTGTTCATTGATGCTCTTGCCTCCTCCCCCACTAAGGACTCCCTGGGTGGCTGCCCAAGCAGGACCTGCAGCAAAGCCTGGCACACAACCCAACAGTGTGGTTTGTTGGGTCTCCTCCAACGGACGGTGAGTCCCCAAACTAAGACTAACCCAAGAGCCAGCAAGCATCGAATGTGCAATAACTATATTCAGCAAGAGGAATGAACCCAGGGAATCAAAGCCCACATATTTTCTGTGAAATTAAACATCACCAGAATATTCACAGCTGGGGGAATATGCGGCATTACAGGTCACTCTGCTTGCCCAAAATACCAAGATGCAGGGTAGAGTCCTGCAGTTTAGGTAAGGGAAGTGCTTTTTTTGCCAAAGCTGGGCTATCAGAGAAGGCTTCCAGGTGGCGCTGTAGAAAAGGATGGACCTTTCAGCTGTAAAAGCCTGTAGTCAGCTCATAGATTTCCCTTGGAAAGCACTTATATGTTTGCAGTTAAAGTAGGATGGAAGCCATCTAATTTAATGAACGGATGGTTCCTCATGGCCTGATGTCACTGTGCAATTGGAAGTTATTCCAGCCACTGCCAAGAGCTGCCCAAGATGCCCAGTTTGGAGGTACTCACTCGGTAGGTGCCTGCCTGCCGCAGGCACTGGATGGCCAGCTCCCCTGCCACCCTGCTCCCATAGCAGCACCGCGAGGACACGAAGCGCAGGAGGGCTCCTTGGCCACTGCCTCTGTCACTGCGGGCACGCTGGGAGGCAACGGTGACAGGTTTGTGCCTTAACTTATAAAGGGTTAGCTGGAAACATGCAGCGTATTTAGCATAGTGCAGAAAAAGGAAGTAGAGCCCATGTGGGAGACAGTCACAGCTGGTGACTCTCTTATTGCAAAAAGAATAAGAGATTTGCATTCTAAAACACAACCCTCGTGCAATATTAGTATTAAATGGTGGTCTAAAATAATGTATGTGTGTGTGTGTAAACCCTCACCTTCAGCAGGCTAGGTAAAGGTTTGAAAGCTTCTTTGAAACATTGATCAGTGTCCTGCAGCCATTTTTTCCCCTCTCATTAGGGCTGAGAAACACAATGCCACCAGATATCCAGTCTGAAACCTTTGTGCAGGTGAAGAAAACAAGCAGGAGCAGACTCCCACCATCCTATCCTACTATGGATCAAATGTTGCTTTTTGAACTGTGCTGCTTTTTTCCCCCCCACTTACAAAGGAAAAAGGTGTGTTGTGTACTTGCTTTTGTTTTGTTTTTTTTCTTAAATTCAAGGTGAAAATTGGGAGAGAAAAAAGACAGTAAGCACTAAGAGCATAAAGGACACAATAGCTGACCCCTGGGAGAAGGACTAGCACAAAACCTGTGCGATACTTATTTTCTGAGGAAAGCTTCAAGAGTTTGGGCCCCACCTCTGAGGAGGATGATGCCAGTGCTGTTGGTGCTACGGGTGTCCATGTCTACAGCGGGCACGCTGCAGGCTGTCAATGCCTGTGGTGGGGACATCCTTTCTGCCATCTCTGGAGTCCTGGGAACCCGGCCATCTAGGGATGCTGAGGCAGGGGGTAACCTCCCTCCACAGGGCTGTGCTGAGCTGCATTCAAGTGAAGGGCATAAAGCTGCTTACTGGTGCTGCACAGAGGGCTGTCTGCTCCTCTGCTCCCTGGGCTCACCCATCGGCTCCTCTGTCAGTGGCTCTGCTCCTATGGGGAAAGGGCAGCTGAGAAATTCAAGCCCACCTTAAACCAAGAGCGGGTTTTGCTCACAGCTGCAGGAAGATTAAGGTGTAGCACCTAAAGCCAGTCCCGGGTGAGCAGTTTGCTACACACCAAACATCCCACACACCCCAGCCAGAAGCTGCTCCCTGTCCAGCCCATCCCAGTGGCATTCCCTCAAGGCACTGGGACATCACTCAGGGAGTAGGGCACTGCCTGTGCCCACAGCACTGGCCCCTCTGCCTTGCTCAGGGCAGCACAGCAGTCCTAGCTCCCTGCTCAGCAGAGGTCTTGATGACTTTCTGTGCAGGGAGAAGCACAGCCAAATATCAAAGGTAATTACTTCCCAAACCACATCTGTCTGCAAAGGAAGCAGGCCACAAACAGCAGCACAGGAGGTAAAAGTCTTTGTGAGCTGGGCAGGCACATGCCCATTGCAGTAGCTATAGAGTACAAGAGGGAGGGTTTCATGGGATTGTTCACCTTGGATTAGGCAGCTGCTGGTGTTTTTCTACTGCCAGAAGGGTAAAGTTACAGGAGTGCAAACTGTCAGAGAGACAAAATCAGTGCCACACACATACCTCTGCCCTGGGTGATCCACTCACAGTCATCCAGCTGTTCCTGGGGTGCAGAAGGCATCAGGGAACATCCTGGCTTTGGGTCCAGGTCACCTACAGCCACAGAAACATCAGTGAGGGATCCTGGAGGTCTGACAGTGCATGTAGAGACCAAACAGATGTCACAGGCCACCGTGCAGTGAGAGCATTTGCTGTCCTTTCCCACTGTCTCCTTTCCAGGAGCTCAGTCCCTGTGCTGAAGTGGAACAACACTGACACCCTATGTAGGTGCCATAGCCCTGCAGGTCCTCACTCCCTCTGCGGGCCGGAGAGCTGAGGACCGGGTGTTACAAGCCCCGGCGGTGGAGCCCGCAGGCTGGGGCACCATCTGCGCCCCTTGGCAGGGAGCAGGGGAGAGCTGCCAGGATGGACGCCCAGAGCAGGCTGGTTAAGCACATGGGCAGGAGAAAGGCACCAGGAACTTCCCAAAGACCCAGAGACGCTCTCTGGTCAGCAGGTGACAGGTTATAGCGGAAGAGCTCAAAGTTCTACACATTTACATCTTACTGGACATGAACATAGAGAAGGTCAGCACCACTTAGTCTGACCAGCAACGACTCTGCTCTTGTTCTAAACGTTTCCAACTTACTTTAATTCTGCTCGTGGGACAGCAGTTGTTTGTTTCCTTAGGTACCGCTCTAAAAATACTCACTGGTAGCAACTGGTCCTCCTGATGCCTGCCTAACACAGAAACCATTCTTTTTATTAAGCCTTTTATCCAGTGACCTTTCATATTGCAGCAGCTGATTACGAAAATTCAGTCCATGCAAGGAAAGAGCGCACAGAGGAGCCAGGAAATGCCAGCCTGGCAACAACACGCAGTCTGACAGGCATGGAGAGGCTGAGCGTAGTCATCCATCAACTTGATTTACTAGACTTCTGCACTGAAAGCATGCTCCTTTCTTCCAGGAAGCAAAATTATTCTCTCCATTATTTCTTCCTATGAAAATAGGAAACTACATGCTTGCTTTGAAATGTCACATCCCTCATGCAGAAGACAAGGCTGTCCTTGAGCTGAAGGAACACAGATTTCCAGGTAATGGTGAGTAATAAGCACTATGGAGAGCTTACCTGTGAAAAGTAAATCCATAAGATGCCTTCAGTGTGATTATCTCTGTCATGTCTAGACCAAACAGAAACATCTTCCTCAAGGATGTTGAACAATTTTGGATTCATTTGCCAATTACCTTGCAATACAAGTCTGCTGGGGCTTCTAGTCATGATAAAGCTCCAGCTTCCACTTCCATGCCGCAGGGTGGGAAACCACACTGGAGTGGTGCTTTTCCTTCCCCCCGCTTTGCTGGTGGTTAGTTTTGGTGCTTTGATAGGCCTGTATGCAGTTGTGTACTCATAAGGGAAAGGACACAACTGCAATTGAAAATACTGTGAATTTCCTCATTCAGAAAACAGTGTTTACAAGCCTTTAAGGACTGCAAGGACTTTGTACCTCCTGAGTGAGGGCTCCCATTTCTTCAGTTCACCAAGACTCATGCAGCCTTGCTCAGGTGGGCAAGTGCCCTACTAGGCACGCATCTTGTCTAGGTCATGCTTTGCCAAAAAAGGTTTGATCATATGGTCCTTGAGGTCCCTTCCAACCTGGCATCCCATGAGCCTATGATTTCCAGTCCAAAGTATAATGGACTTATGTACACATTATCAAGAAAACCTGAATGTCTATTTTTAATGTACAAATGTTAAACAAAAAACTGTTTAAAACAAAACATGGAGATACGAATATAAGTACCAAATTCCAGTCCAATAGAAATGGTTTAAATGACCAGGTTAAAAATATCCTAAATTCGGAGTAAATATATCAACTGTACAGTTGTTGCTACGGTGATGTTGTTGGAAATCACAATAGTCTATAAACATGAACTCATAGCTCCATTTTAAAACAGTAAGCCTGAGATAGACTTTGACCAAAGCCAGGAAATTCAGAGCTTAGGCTGTTACTCATCTGATATTTCAGGTTTTGTTCTATATCATTGGGATCCAGCTCTACACACACAAAAGTAGCTGGCAAAATTCCCAACACATACAGCAGTGGCAGAGCAAGCTCCAGCCTTGGACTCACAGCCGTGTTCCTGCCCTTCTGCACAGGGACACCAACAGCTTTGAGCATCTTCTACAGAAGGACTACCTGTCCTCCACTGCCACCTCTCCCTGTTGCTGCCTCCAAGTGATCAACTGCAACTGCGACAAGGGTGAGAGCATACAAGCCAAGTAAAGACTACATGGGTGGAAACCTCAGTTTGCTTTCCTGAGGCACCCAAGAGCCACACGGTACATCTGCACTTAACATTTCTTGGGTGTCTAAAATTGGGCTTTTATGCATGAGCTTAAAACAGTCAGACATGACAGTGGTGTGCACTCAGACCCTGTTTCTCAACTGGAAGTTCTCATCTCTCACCCCAGGGTGCTGTCTGCTAAGCACTCGCTTCCAATGTCAAGGCTCAATACATGGAACATGACTGCTGCCCAGCTAGAGAGAACTCCTAAAGGAGAAGTTGGCATGAACACACCTTTGTATGGGAACCAGGGTTGGATTCCTCCTGCCAGAGGAGTAACTGTGGTTTACTGTTCAGGGAGATTCCTCTGCAGAGAGGGACAAGTCCCAAGCAGGTATAAATCGGAGCCAAACACTGCTTTCCCCACACACTCCTCCAGGCAGCCCGTGAAGACTGCAGCTGGCAAGCAGTAACTGAGCAAGAGCCCATCAATGTCAGCAGAAATACCCTCATTTTCAGTGCATTTAGGATTGGACCCATAAGCCAAAGCATGGGGGAGTCTCAACCCTAGCAAACCCTAGCAGTTAACCTTCAGTTCTCATCCCCATCAACCACTTGCCCTACTGCTCCACTACCTGGCTGGTGGAGCTGGATGTCAGAGCTCCACACAGCACCTCCAGGACCACAAACTTTTTAATTTTTTCCATCTGATTAAACAGAAACTTCCTGTACCATCTTTATTTAAGCTAATCAAAGCTTTTCTCATTCATAAATTAAGGAACCTCAGAACTCAATTACTTTTCAGTAACATCAGTGACAGCAGTATTTCACTGGGGCCCTGCATAATTAGAGTTTCTTCAGGCGCCATATTAACATCTAATGAAAAAGATATAGTCAAGGGCATAATTTCAAAGCTCCATCATGACACAGCTATTTTGATTAAGCAGCATTTCGTTAAAAGATAACAAACCCCAGTTTAATCTCTAACCCATGTCAAACAGTTTACAGTGGACTCCAAGAAGCCCACGTTAAAGACAAACCCAGGAAGCAACCCAGGGTTAGAGATTCAGGGACTAAATTCACATCTCTAAGAATTAAGTCCCTGTTCCATTGGAATCAGTGGGGTTTGCATTGTGTCTAAAGGTGTAGCAACACCTTTAGGTCAGAGACATGGCACAACCAACATGCCA